CAGGCCAAGCAGCATCATAGGAGCAGTAAGGCTGACGTTTCGGGCCTAGACCCTTCATCTGATGAAGGGTCTAGGCCCGAAACATCAGCCTTACTGCTCCTATGCTGCTGTTTGGCCTGCTGTGTTCATCCAGCTCTGCACCTTGTTGTGTCAGAGATTTATACTACTGCCCTAGGTTTTCACAATATGTATGAATGATTTGGATGAATGAATAGACAGTAATATCCAGGCTTGCAGTTGACATCAAATCTGATAAATGTTCATGGTATATTGTTATTATTTGGAAATTTAGGTTCTAAAGTGGATAGAATTATGGATAACTTCAAGCTTGATTTGTATTTCTATATTCTGTGTGCTAGGAAGAGTATAAGTTTAGTTTTATTTTTGTGCTTTGGGTGATGGTAATTTCCCCTGGAATTAATTTCAATTCACCTGTGGGACACTTGAGTGTTGTAGGAACTGAATTCATAGAGGCAAGTGGGGAGTATTTCCTCACACTCCTAACTTGTGCCTTGCATATGATGGACAGGCTTTCAGACGTCAGGAGGTGAGTTACTCACCGCAATATTCCTAGCCTCTGACCTGCTCTTGTAGCCACTGTGTTAATGTGGTAAGACCAGTTGAGTTCCTGATCGATGATAACTCCCAGGATATTGATAATGGGGGATTCAGTGATGTAACACGTTGAATGTCAAGGGGTGGTGGTTAGATTGTCTCCTATTGGTTATGGTCATAGCCTGGCATTTGTCTGGTGTGAATATTACTTGCTACTTTTCAGCGCAGGTCTGGATATTGTCCAGACGCTGTTGCATTTGGACATGGACTGTGTCAGTATCTGAGGAGTCGAGAATGGTGCTGAACATTGTGTAATCATTGGCGAACTGCCCCACTTCTGACCTTATGATGGAGGAAAGGTCATTGATGAAGCAGCTGAAGATAGTTGGGCCTAGGATGCTACCCTGAGGAACTCTTGCACAGATGTCCTGGAGCCGAGATGACTGACCTCCAACAACCATGACCATCTTCCTATGTGTCAGGTATGACTCCAACCACTGGAGATTTTTCCCCCTGGTACCCATTGATTTTAGTTTTGCTAGGGCTCCTTGATGCCACACTCCGTCAAAAGCAGCCTTGATGTCAAGTGCTGTCACTGTCACCTCACCTCTGGAATTCAGCTCTTTTGTCCATGTTTGAACCAAGGCTGTAATGAGGTCAGAAACTGAATGGCCCTGGTGGAATCCAAACTGAGCATCACTGAGCAGGTTATTGCTGAGCAGGTGCTGCTTGATAGCACTGTTGATGACATCTTCCATCACTTTACTGATGATTGACAGTAGACTGATGGGGCAGTAATTGGCCAGGTTAGATTTGTCCCGCTTTTTATGCACAGGACATACTTGGGCAATTTTCCACATTGTTGAATGGATGCCAGTGTTGTAACTGTACTGGAGCGGCTAGGCTAGGGGATTGGGGAGTTCTGGTGCACACGTCTTTTGTATTATTGCCGGAATGTTGTCAGGGCTCATAGCCTTTGCAGTATCCAATGCCTTCAACCTTTTCTTGAGATCATGTGGAGTGAATCAAATTGGCTGAAGACTGGTTTCTGGGGACACCTGTAGGAGGCTGAGATGGATCATCCACTGAAGATTGCTGTAAAGTCTTCAGCCTTATTTTTTGCACTAATGTCCTAAGCTCTTGTATCATTGAGGATGGGGATATTTGAATTGTTTAATCGTCCACCACCATTCACGACTGGATGTGGCAGAACTGTACAGCTTAGATCTGATCCGTTGATTGTGGGATTGCTTAGGTCTGTCTATCAATTGTTGCTTATGCTGTTTGGCGTGCAAGTAATCCTGTTCAGAGGCTTCACCAGGTTGATACCTCATTTTCATGTATGTCTGGTGCTGCTCCTGGCATGCCATCCTGAACTCTCCATTGAACCAGGATTAATCCCCTGGTTTGATGGTAATGGTTGAGTGGGGGATATGCCTGGCCATGAGGTTACAGATTGTACTGGAGTACAATTCTGCTGCTGTTGATAGCCGACAGCGCCTTATGGATGCCCAGTCTTGAATTGTTAGATCTGTTTGAAGTCTGTCCCATTTAACACAGTGACAGTGCCACACAACATGATGGAGGTTATTCTCAATGTGAAGGTGGGACTTCATCTCCGCAAGAACTATGCGGTGGTCACTCTTACCAATACTGTCATGGACAGAAGCATCTGCAGCTGGCAGATTGGTAGGGATGAGGTCAAGTATGTTTTTCCTCTTGGTTCCCTCACCACCTGCCACAGACTCAGTCTAGCTGCTATGTCCTTTAGGACCCAACCAGATCGATCAGTAGTATTACTGCCGAGCCACTTTTTGTGGCGGACATTAAAATCCCCCACCCAGAGTACATTTTGTGCCCTTACCATCCTCAGTGTTTCATCTAAGTGTTGTTCAACATAGAGGAGTACCGATTCATCAGCCAACGGAGGAAGGTACTTGGTAATCACAGGGTGTTTCCTTGCCCGTGTTTAACCTGAAGCCATGAGACTTCGTGGGGTCCAGAGTCAATGTTGAGGACTCCCAGGGCAGTTCCCTCTCAACTGTACACCAGTGTGCTGTCACCGCTGCTGGGTCTGTCCTGCTGGTGAGACAGGACATATCCAAGGATGGTGATGTGATGTCTGTGACACTGTCTGTAAGATATGATTCCGTGAATTTGACTATGTCAGGCTGTTGCTTGACTAATCTCTGAAAGTGCTCTCCCAATTTTGGCATTAGCCCCCAGATGTTAGTGAGGAGGACTTTGCAAGTCGACAGGGCTGTTCCTGCCGTTGTTTTTTTCTGGTCAATGCCAGGTGATCCATCTTTGAGACTTTGTAGCGATTGGTACAACTGAATGACTTGCTAGGCCACTTCAGAGGGCAATTGAGAGTCAACCATATTGCTGTGGGTCTGGGGTCATATGTAGGCCAGACCAGTTGAGGGTGGCAGATTTCCTTCCTTGAAGAAGGAAGATGGGTTTTTTCGACAATCGACATTGATTTCATGGTTGTCAATAGATTCTTATTTCCAGATTCTTTGTTTTTTTTTTAAATTCAACTCCCCTATTTGCCACAGTGGGATTTGAACCTGGATCCCCAGAACATTTGCAGCCTTTCAAATAATAGTCTGCCTGTTTTATTTTTGC